GTTTGCTTTTGTTTAGGTAGATATAAAAAATTAGCCATGATAACATCATGTCGCTTGGAAAGAGACTGCAAATTTATCATACACTTTTTGACTTTATTTTAGTGGGTTTTTTTTGTTACCTCTTTTTGAGTTTGAGAGAAATCCTTTAGTAATATCAGAGATTTTATTTTCTGTGGTTATCTTAATAAATTAAATTTTATGATTAAACTTAGATCATTTTGTTTTCTTGACTAGTAAATGAAATTTTATAATGACCAGTCTTATTTGATCAAATAATTTTAAATATGTTCCTTATTAGGCCTAGGAAATGGCATAATTTAGCAAGAACAAGAATGAGTGTAGGACTTTGCCTTGGATTTGAGCTCTGTTTTTTAAAATTGAATTAACGTTTATTGAGTGCTTCTGATTTGCATGGCAGACAGCTAGGTTTAGAGCAGTGAATGAGAATGACTCAGATGAATTAGAGATGGCTTCTGCTATTAAAGTGTTCACTGTGTTTTTGATGTTTAACCTTAAATTTACTCAGCCTTTATTTTAGAGCCCTGGTGACACTTGTGTGTTGGACTGTTAATTCCAAAGTCAGCGGTTCAAACCTACCAGTGGCTCTACAGGGAAAAGATGACGCTGTTTCCATGTTGTTGTTGTTGTTGTTAAGTGCCGTCAAGTCAGTTCCGATCCATACTGCCCCTGTGTAGGATTTCCAAGAAGCAGCTGGTGAGCTTGAACTGCCGACCTTGTGGTTCAAACCAGCTATGCAGTATAGCACATTAATCCACAGCTCCATGCCAGGACTCCTGTCTGGGTTTCTGTGAGTTAGAATCAACTTGATGGCAGTGGGTTTTGATTATGAAAATGCTAATAGCCTCAGACATGTATGATAGTATATGTGACAGCCCTTGGTACTATTTAGAAGCAAGGTGTCATATAAATGACAAGTCGTAGCAGCTCTCTCTCTGAAATAAAGTAATGGGACTTAAAAAAATTTTTTTTTTAACTTTTTGTGAATCGATTGTAGGTAGATCATCATATTTACATTTAACAAATCATACACTTTGTTCACCTCAATGATTGCAACCTGTTCCGTGTACCAACGGATAACATTGTTTACCTCTACTCACTTTATTGCATTCCTCCCTGTGTCTCCTACTACCCTCATCTTTCCTCTACTAACCTTCTCTTGCTTCTTGTTGTATATTGTCTGCCCTGTCACCCATGTTAATGTGTTTTTACCCTCTAGCCTGTGAATAATCTGCCCAACCATCACAAATTGTTTATTTTATCAAGAAAACCTTAACTTTTTACAACAATGATC